TCAATTATTCAAATAAATATTACAATGACACAAAGAGGATGAGTGAGCAAAATCCAGAATAATTGTACAGGATTTATTAACTGACCTGCCAAATAAATGGCAAGAAAACACTGAAGGGAAAATCTTGTACCAACTAGACCTAAAAGATATCACCTATACACATGTGTACAACTTGTTGGGACTTTGATGTGAACAAACTAACTGTTAGAAAAGATAGTTATTAAGTAATTAGGAATAAATAGTGCATATCTGATATCAAGGAATTTTTGTTGATCACTTTTTGGAGCAATGAAGGTGTGTAGTTAGGTTTAAACAGAAAAGGTCCTTATCTTTTGTGTACTTAAGCCTGTTGACTTAAGTACTTCAGCATGACAGGCCATATAAGTGGGATTTGTTGGTACAGGTGTGAGTATAGTGATCTTATTTGATAATGAAACTGCTATAGTCATATGGAGGTTGATTTAATTAGTTTTTATAGTGTCAATTTGAAAATTTCTGAAAAGTCAATTTAAATCAGTTCCATCATTTATACTAAAGATCTTTAAAAAGTGCTTTAGGGCCTCCCTGATGGCACAAGGGGTTAAGACGCAACTTATGAAGCTATTCACAGCCACTGCAGCCATGGCGCAGCACACCTCTCCTGTCTGGCCCGCTGCTCCCCTCAGCAGTGTATTTTGGTCAGTCCTCCTGTTAAGTTCCCCACTCTGTCTTTGGTGAATCCTCTCACCCCCCACACCTCTGGCCTGTACCCCAGTTCTTATATGCATAAATCAATCAATCTTTAAAAAAAGGTGCTTTAAAGTCTACACGAGCTTCTCTGTTGGCTCTCTATCCTGTAATTAAGTGTGCTTTTAATAATTTTGCCACTGAATTTTTGTGGTTACTAACATTTCAAGCACAGTAGACTTAAAAGTTTAAAAACGTTATCCTGAGAACTTCATTACCCCCTCTTGGAAAAAACCCTTCAAGTCTGTTTGGTCAACTTATAAATAGGTTGTTTTTTTAACAACAGCTGATCAAATCATTTTTGTGGGAGTTTTCTCAAGCTTAAATTGTGGCAACTTGTACGCCATTAGCTAGCCTCTCTGGCTATCACCTTTGACCTAAATCTTGTTAATGTAAATGGCATGTGGGTGTGGGGCACAGTGCCTGACTATGGACACCTGAGCATGGGTGTGTGCGCATGTGCAAGTGTGCACACCTGTGCCTAGAGGTCAGCGCTATAAGGACAGTGTTACTCAGCGATAGCTCGGCGTTGAGGGGAAGAGACCGTGAGAATGCCAGAGAAAGCCCAGAGGAAAGAGGTTACAGAGATTCACAGGGGCCCAAGTTGCTGTCTCCCTGCTGGTTTGTTTCCCCTGTGAGGATGATACCAAGGGCTCCAAGTTTCTCTTTTAAGCTGCCCAAACTGATGGTGAACCTACCTGGCCGGGGTGGTTGCATAACAGTTTTTCTCAATCTCTTTATAATTTTTAAGAAAATTATGGGAAATGCTAGTAGTTTCTGACTCCTGTATTTTTCTTCTTTCTACATATTATAACAAATTTAATTATTATCAACTGAGAGCTTCTCAGGTGCCAAACACTGTTCCAGGCTCTGAAAACAGCAGTGACTGAGAAACTTGAGTCCCTGCTATCGTGTGCCATGTATCCCATTACTAATTAGGTTTAAGAGATGAAACACCAGTTTACTTTGCTTTTAGTTAAATTGAACTTTAATTATTTGTAATCAATTGGTAGAAGCAAATTTTAGTATCTATTTTCTTGACTCTCAAGTATTAAGAATCAAATCTAAAGAACCCAATTCTGAAGCTCGAATGGGAGCCTGGAGAAGCAGGTGATGGTGTTTCAGTTGTGTACAGTCAGCTTGGTAAGTAAGTACAACTGATTGGGGTGGGTTTCCTTAAGTACCTTTTAGGTCAGAAATATGCTGGTGTGTTGGACGGTTGGAGTCAGCCTGTGCAGGGGAACATTTTGGCTCTGGTATGGAGTGGAGTTTGGGGTTAGTGGCCAAGGGTGAGGCTGTGGAGTGTAAACTTATTTCCTGGCTAAGTGGGAAAGAACAATTTGAGATGTCAAAACAGTAGCTCACTAGCTGTATGAAAAGAGTCTGATGTTTGTCTAAAATGAAACTTGAGAGAATCAGATAATGGAAACTGGGTAGCCATTTAAGGGAAATAATTATTTGGCAGTAAATTCCATTTTTGAAGAATGCCTTGGGAAAAGATGGTTAATGGATTACTTTGAATGTACAAAAGATGGTATTCTATTTAAAGAATTACTTGGGAGTCCTGTGAAGTAGATATTTGTTTTTGTAATACGAGTAATCACCTGCTAGTTGACCTGAACCCTGTATGCACACTTATATGTATAGTTTTGGAAATTTTTTTAAAAAGATTTATTTATTTATACAAGCACGGGGTACAGTCAGAAGTGCTGGTGGATGAGACAATTCACCAGAGTCAGAGCGGAGAACAGAGCAGGCGGACTGACGAAGTACACTGCTGAGGGGGCAGCGGGTGGCAGGAGAGGTCTGCGCACCATGTGGGACCCTCACCTGGCGGCCGGGGATCGAACCAGCGCTGCAGAGGCTGCGGGCAGCCTCTCAACGAAGCGCTCAACCACTGCGCCACCGGGGAGGCCCCTGGAAAATTATTTAGTAATGCTTATACCTAGAAAAATAAGTCTAATAGGGGTGAATACTTAAATTCTTAACACTGCTTTTGGACAAAAAGAGATGAGTACTTGAATGTGGGTAGTAAATTTTAGCTTCTTGGTTACTCAGGGCAGACATTTACACAGTTTGAATAACTGATGCAAATTATAGCAGTTTTGAAATATATGTAGTAGAAATCATTTTAATAGGGTATATTTTAAGGCTTTTATAGAAAATATAAATCTTATACAAAAGTAGAGTGACAGGACCTATCTTGTAGTTTTAACAATTACTAGCATGTGAGTTATTTTGAAACCAACCCTAGACTAGTATTTCATGTGAAAATTCTGAGACTAGGTGGTATTTGAAATTGTTTTCTTAAATTGACCTTTTCACCATCTCTTTTGCTCCTTAAGATTGTGCTTTGTTTCACTCTCATAAAAATAAAGTAAAATGTTACTTCCTTCCTCTGCCATTTTGTGATTACAAACAGGATGTACCTGAGATTGGTTAATCACTATTTCTTGAGAGCTCCCTCAGGGAGAGGCGGTATCTGTGGCCTGTTTGTTCTCTTACTTGGAGAATGGAAGAAACAAAGGACCAGGCTGTCAGTTTTGTCAATTTAGTCTTAACTAAACTGATGGTTTGCTGTGGTGCTTCAAAATGAGTGAAGTATTTGACCTTGAAAGGGAAATTTATTATAGTTCTAAATTTTAGAAGTTAATTATTTCACTTGAGATCTCAAGTCCAATTGCTGGTCCTTTTTTTTTCCTTTTTTAAAAATAGGTAGTTGACTATAAATTTCCTTCTAAGGGGGTCATTGTGTGGCATCTATAGTACAATCTCAGTTAATGTCCTTTCTGTTCTCTTTTTTTTTTTACATTTTAAAAGTACAGGTTTATTAGGAAAAGGAGAAGGACACCTGCATAGCCACAGGTGGGCAGAACTCCTCCCTCCTTCCTTCTGTTCCTCCCTTTTTTCTCTCTGACAATATGGAGGAAGGGGTAGACCTATGTACATACACACATGTATATGTAATAATATAGAGTCTCATGCTATATATGTAATGTAACCCCTGCATAATTAATTGTTATACATTGTGTATCTTATATTGTATAATTGTATATAACATAATAGATATAATAGATAAATTATATATAATAGATGTGTCTGTAGTAATATAATGTATAGTATATATAGAGTAATAAGAGGTACTATGTAATGGATGTAATGTATATTATGTCTGCAATATGTGGGCATTTGAAGAAATGTGAGATTTTTTTAAATGTTTTCTGTACTGTGGATTCTTTCGGCAATCTGCAACCAAGGCCCTACTAGGATGTTTGTAAGTGCAAAGAATAAAATTATAAAGGAAAGGAGTTATTTTGAAATAATAGTAAAAATTGTTAAAACTCATAGTAATATGCTTCTTAACATAAGTAATAAGTTCTAACAATACCCTTAACTTTCACAGTAGTGAGTATAGATGATACTTAAAAACTTGGAACAACTTATGAAAATACCTGATTTATATTGATGTCAGAATTACAAGTACTGTAATTTTATTGTGGTTTAATGCCAATATCCATAATTGAAGGAAGTGCCAAATTTCAGTTTAGGGGATAGTGAAAATAATGCGACCTCTTTCCCCAATCCCAATTCCCTGAATTCCATCCCTGGATCCCTTGGCTGTGATTTCAGATTAAGGAATGAGATGGTGTTTGTGTTCTGGGATGCCTAATTTTACACCAAAGGTTTTGAACTTTATTTTTTTCCCCAAAGATCTACCCATTTATGCATACAAGAGCTGGGGTACAGACTAGAGGTATAGGGGGTGAGGGTGAGAGGATTCACCAGAGACAGAGTGGGGAACAGAACAGGCAGATTGACCAGAGTACACTGCTGAGGGGAGCAGCGGGCGAGATAGGAGAGGTCTGTTGTGTCATGTGGGTTGTTCCCTGGCCTGAGGGGGATTGAACTCTTGCTGCAGTGACTGCTGACTGCTCCATAGTGCTGCGCTTAACCCCTTGCGCTACCAGGGAGGCCCCAGGTTTTGAACTTTAAATGGAGTTATCAGATGAAATGTTTTTCAAACATTATACCTGCCAACTTTACTGACTGTTAAAATAAGCCATAATAATTCAGTGATGCATCTTCAAATGGCTTCAATATTTTAATTTTTGAGATTGGCTTTATTTTTTCCTTCTTGGACTGCATTTTCTGTAATGAATGTAAAACTAATATTTTAAGTGGCCTCTGATTTTAACTATTTAAGCCTCTGATTTTAACTCTTACTGTGTTTTGCTTTTGTTTTTGTTGTTTTAAACCTTTTAATTCTTCTGCAGGATTCGGAAACTTCAGATACGAAATATCCCGCCTCACTTACAGTGGGAGGTAAGAATTTCTGTATTTAAAATTAAGATGTTAGTATGCTAGCCCGGTGTTTTAGCTTTTCTTAGCTTTTCTGTAGGTTTTTCTCTCTCCCCTATCTTCCTTCTTAGATATACTGGAACAGAAATTCATTTTCTTTGTGGTCTTTCTGTGGACTTTTCTTTGTGAGGGCGCATTGAGGCTTTTACGAATCTATTCTTTAGCTACTTAAAAAAAGTTGAAATAGGTTCTTTGTTTGTTAACTTGGGTAACTAGGTTCTTAGGTACCTTCCTCATTCAGCTCCATCCCAGCAGAATCTTGTTTATCTGATAACTTTTTGATGAGTTTGTCAGTTGTATTTAAATATGATTAGCCCATCTTTGCCAAAATTTTTAAAATTGTACTTTTATTTTAAAATGTTTCTGCACTTTCTTCTGCTCAGATGGTTATAGAGTAGTAATTGTGTACAAACACAAACTATTTAACAGAATTGTCAGTAATATTCAAAATGTCATAATGATGTCATGGTGAGAATTTTAGGTACCACTAATTGAAGAGATTAAAAGAAAATGCCTATTGAGTCTTCTAGATGATGGAAAAGTTCTTAAAACCTACCTTAGAGAAGGTGATCCAGGAAGAACTCATCAGTTTTTGTGTATTTTTAATATTAAAATACAGAATAACTAGCTTTGTGGGTTTCAGATTAGTCTTCTAAAATGACATTTGATGAATCACTAAACCACAGATTTCATCAAAATGCAAAGTGTGGTTAAAAGGTGTCTTGGATGGTGAACTGAGGGACATTGGTCTGGGGTATGATTCTCCCAGGTCCCTGGTAGTAAAAATTATTTATGTTAAAAATATTTTACATAGTATTTATTTTCAGAACAATATTACTGAGTTTAATCTTCGCAGGAGGAGACGGTTCTTTGGTATATGCTGAGTATTTTCCAGTGTGCAGTTTTTTTGTTTTTAAATATTTATGCATACAAGAGGTAGGGTGTAGGCTAATAGGGGGGCGGGGCAGGTGTGAGAGGATTCACCAGAGACAGACTGGGGAACAGAACAGGCAGATCGACTGAAATACACTGCTGAGGGGAGTAGCGGGCGAGACAGGAGAGGTCTGCTGCGCCATGTGGGTCACCTTACTGGCCAGCCAGGGACTTGAACTTGTGCTACAGTGTCTGGCCATAGCATGATAGAGCTGTCTTTAACTCCTGTGCCACCAGGGAGGCCCCCAAAGTGCAGTTTATAGAACATAAAATTTCATAGATTAAAACAGTGAGTTGTTAGAGTAAACTTGATGTATTTTCTTTTCTTTTCTTTTTTAAGATTTATTTTTATACAAGAGCTGACATACAGGCCAGAGATGCGGGAGGTGAGAGGATTCACCAGAGACAGAGTGGGGAACAGAACAGGCAGACGACCAAAGTACACTGCTGAGGGGAGCAGTGGGCGCGACAGGAGAGGTCTGCCATGCCATGTGGGAATCTCCCTGGCCGGCCGGCAATTGAACCCGTGCTGCGGACAGCCTCACAGCGCTGTGCTTAACCCGCTGTGCCACCAGGGAGGCCCTTTGATGTATTTTCCTGTTTTAGATAAACATTTGTTTAGCGAATTCAGTTCCTTGGGAGATGCATCTCCAAGTCAGGTACTGTGGTATCAAGATTATTGGTTTGGGGCCTCCCTGGTGGTGCAGGCAGTTGAGCACAGCGCTGTCAAACTGTCTGCAGCCTCTGCAGTGCTGGTTCGATCCCCTCCGGCCACAGAGCAGCCTACATGGCACTGCAGGCCTCTCCTGTCTCGCCCGCTGCTCCTCTCAGCAGTGTGTTTCAGTCATTGTTAAAATATGCCTTTCTCAGGGAATTATATCTGTGGGTGATATAGCTTTCAACAAAATACAATCAATGGTAGCAGCCAATTTTAAGTGAATTATTAGAATGCTGGCATAGCGGCAACAGGCAAGTGACAAGTTTCTTTTTAATGCATTCATAGTATCTTTTCAAATTTAGATTGTAGCTTCTCAAGGATTTAGTTTATTGTATTTTTGGTGGTTACTCTGGCTGTTAATTTATTGCTAATATGTAATATATCCTGGGTGAAATTAAATCTGGTTCATGAGAATAAATATTTGCCTTTTCTTAAAATTTGTATTTTATTTCACCTTTCCCAGAGTGCTTTGAGGCAAGGCCAGGTTAGTTACATTATCTCCATTTTTCAGTTGGGTAAATGTGGGCACATAGGATCAGAAAACTAAGTAAGAACACATACTGAATTATAAGAATATTGAAACTAGACTTTGATACTGTCGAACTTTGATCCCTTTAAAATTTTTAATGATTGTTTAAGTTTTGTTAATCAGTATTTTAAATTTATTGAGAGCTTGTCAGGAATAGATAAATTATTGGAGTGATTTCTTTCCTAGAAGACTTGAATAAACACCATTTATTTCCTTTTTGAGGTGTCACTTTGTATAACATTTATTTACATACTGAGTATGTTGCTGATTCCATTCCAAATGCTTATCTTAGACAGCAATGTTATACTTAAGTGTTTGGACTCCCTTTATAATGGAGAGATTAGACTTTGAATCCCCTGGTTAGAGTCACTGAAAAGTGGAATGACCAGACATTATGTGCTTACTGATTTGATGTAATAGTAATTCATAGCAACATAGATGAAATGTATTTGTCTAAAAAATTAGAGGTTTGACTGGATTCAACTTCAATCTAACTTTGAGTTTACAAAAAATACAGAAAATAGAGATATGACTTAGGTGATGCCATGAAGAAATAACTAGCTAAGCCCAGATGATGGGACATTGCATAGGACAGATGATAGTATTTTACAGCTAAGCCACTGGCATGTTAAAAGGGAAGGGGACTGTTAAGGAATAAGACATGAGAAGAAAGCAAAAAAGCAAGAATGTAACTGTAGTAAGTTATTTGAGAATTGTGTAAATAGTTCTTTGAAGCAGCATGCGGTATCTAGAAAGCCTTAGAGTATTTTGCAAATGATCTTTGAGGTCAGATTTAAAGTTATATCCCAGCTCCACTATTTTCTAGTTCATACGGTTACATGATTTCTGAACAGATTTTCAAAACCTTGAGCCTCTTTTTTTTTTTTGTTTCTAACACGGATGATAGTGGCAACTTCATTGGCTATCTGTGAGCTTCAATATAGGTTTTTCCATTTATCTGAAAATAGTGTGTTCCTATTTGTTATGATTTGGTAGGTTATTTTTTGGGTCTGGGTGTGCTGTTACTGCTGATTTACATGGGATCATTTTTGAGCCAGAGTTCTAATCCAGAAATGAAAATTCTTCTGCCCACACAGTGCTCTTGTAAACCATTTTCTATGAGGTCACTGAAGAGCTGACAGAATCTGGTATCATGGTAGAAACACTTCCATGAGGTAACAGTGCTGTGCATTTTATACCAACTGCAACTGGATCGTTAATTTTCTTTTAACTACTGTAATGTTTTAATATTATTTATACTGCCATATACTGCTGAATGATACAAGGGAATTTCTCTCAAGTTCCTGGGGTGCACGCTTTGTGTTTTGTGCAGGAGTTAAATGATTTCTTAACTATTTAGTTTGGGGATGATCAAACACTCATGGGCACTGAATTGGCTAAACTGTTTCTCTAATTAGGTCTTTTGGCAGATAGAGATATGGGAAACTAACTTTGTGAAGGACATGCTGCTGGAGAATTAGGTAGGTTTGTTTTTCTCCCAAATATGTGGAATATAGAAGGGAAATAGAGGCAACTGTTTCTTCTTTACCTTTTGCCTCCTTGCCAGAGGTATTTGAGAGTAGGTTTTTGGTGTGACTATGCTGGAAGGGCCCTGTTGGTCCTGACAAGCCAACAGATCTGACTTCTTAGATGTCCCAGGGAGACAAATGTGTGATATGGATTTGAGGGGACACCTTTTTGGGTGAACAGTGTGGAAGTAGAGAGTGATAAAACCCCAGCAGAACACTTGGCTTGAAACACCTTTAAGCATTCCCTTTTTTTGCTCTACTCAAGGCCTGTGTGGGCTCTACTTCCCAGATGGAAGAACTGTCTCTCTGAATTTTAAAAACAAATTGACAGGACTTAGGGCAAGACTCCTCAAAGAGTTTTTCCTAATCTTGCTTTACTACTGCTGTCTAATTAAAGTACCCAATAAGAACTCAAAAAACCGAGGCCTCCCTGGTGGCGCAGGCGTTGAGTGCAGCGCTGTGAAGCTGTCCGCAGCCTCTGCAGTGCCGGTTTGATCCCCGCCCGCCGTGGAGATAACTCACATGGCAAGGCAGACCTCTCCTGTCTCACCTGCTGCTCCCCTCAACAGTGTATTTCAGTCAGTCTGCCTGTTCTGTTACCTGCTCTGTCTCTGGTGAATCCTCTCACCCTCCTGCACATCTGGCCTGTACCCCGGTTCTTGTGTAAAAATAAATACATCTTTTTTTTTTTTTTTTTTTTTTTGTGGGACCCTTGCTGGCTGTGGCTGGGGTACGAACCGGCGCTACAGAGGCCGCGGGCAGCCTCGCAGCCCAGCGCTCAACCGCTGCACCACCAGGGGAGGCCCCTAATAAATACATCTTTTTTTAAAAAAAAAAAACCTCACAAAACCTTAAAAAGATAACTTGCCTGAGGGATAAAAACCCAATAATTATGTAAATATGTAAAGGGCAATTTAGTTTCTCCTTTCGAGGTTAGGTATTGAAAGTAGAATGATGCTTAGAGCTTTCTATGTGGGGAAGAAAGAGTGAGCTACAGAGTTGGTTGTCTATATGCCCACAGAAGCCTTTGCCCATGACTTGAACAACTATGTTTTTTAGGTTAAGATTTAAATATTTGATATAACAAATGCTTATGGGGAATGCATACTTCAAAGTCACCATATTGCTGGAAAATCCGGACTGTATATTGGTTTTACCTCAAGGCCTGAATATCAGGTTTTTCCTGATTAGTTGAGCTGGGAAGATGAATGCATATTTTGGAAAGAAACGCTTGAAGAGATAATCACTGTAGAAG